TATATATATATAGTGTGTGTAAACAAACACACACGTGATTAGATCACTGTAGTAGTTATCATATGTATCCTGTTGCTTTAATCGTTGATGTTATGCAGGATGTTAGGCTGTTTTATTCCAGTCGTTAGCACTCTGAGCTAACACATGCTAGCAGAAGCTAACTCAGCTGATCTGTCAACAAGCGGTCACATGCGCCCATTATCGGACAGCTGTTTATCCAACAAACTGACCTGAAGCCCGGAACACTCGGTTTGCAAACACGGCTCTGTCACTTCCGCCCGTCATTGTCTTTTAATAATTTATATTAGATGTTTTTAAACAGTTTTAATCAGATGCGGAAGTGTGCAGCAGCACTCAGCGTCTGAATAAATATTTGTCACAAACTGACTCCGTTTTGCAGGACTTTTTTATTAAAGGTTTAAAGTCGTTCATTGATCATTTATTTTTCTTTATCTCAGCAGAAAAAACTAAAATAAATAAATAAAAGAAACGGCTCCAGGAAGTTGCTCAATCCAAGGCAGAACCTGGTGGGTCAAATGTCCGATAAGGAGATTACTCAGTCCATTTATTGATATTTATAATGTTTAAAAAGTGGTTTATGGTTCTGTAATAAAGTTTTTAACTGATATGATCGTTGTAAACACAAAATTATCGTGAAACTAACAAGAAAAAGCAGCAGAGACGAAGCCCTGTCCGATATTTGAAACACCAACTCGATTAAAACGTCATTTAAAAAAAATCCTCAAAGTTTCTGAAAGCTCCGGCACCGAGACGCGTTTCTGACCGAACCGAAACGTTTAGGCTGGGTTGACCGGTCTACAGGTCCAAACTCACCGTGTGGGACTGCAGGTTCTGGCTGGCTTCGATCACCGCCGTCAGCGGCACCGTGTCGTCCAGCAGCAGCCTGCCGGGGACCGGCGGCTTCTCCAGGAACGACATCCCCGGAGGACCGACGCTGGAGACCCGTCAGGCCGTCACCGACACCGAGGAGTAACCGGGAGGGACTGGAACCAGACAGAACCTCAGACAGAACCGAGAAGGACTAGCTAAGGCGTTAGCCTGGAACCTGGAAACGCTGATTTATCAATAATCAGGTGTGAGGAAGTCACGTGACGGGAGGACCGCGCCCCCTGCTGGTCCGGAGGCGGAAGTGAGGGGAAATAAAAAACATTTCAGACTGAATTGTTTAGTTTTCTTCAAAAATTTGTGAAACGTCTTTAAGTGAACTTTATTTAAATATTGAAACGCACAAATCTTACACCACCCCCCCCCCAAAAAAATTTTTTTTTAAACTATAAACTAAAAGTGAATCGTCTCGGTTTATGTCAGGCGCAGGAAGTGGGGGTACGTTTACCTTTTGATATATATTATCATTGTAATATGTATCAATGTTTTTAACCCCCCCAGATTTGAGAGAGGCGCATTTGTCCGGAGCAGAAAAATATTTTGGAAAATTTTAACTCGCGTGATTTTATTTTAAAGGCGTCATTTCACTGCCTTTAATTTAACTCGTTTTATTCTTAAATAATTCAAATGAGGTTTCCAATTTAGTGCTGCCACAACTAATCAATTATTAAAATAATCTGACTAATTTAATAATCAATTAATCGTTTTCATTTTTGTTCTTTACTTAGTTTTTGTCTCCAAACTGCTTTGACACCTTCCACTGCCACGTCTGCCTTTCTGTCCTTGACACACATGCACAGTAGTGGTAACTGGGGTAGGCCGTGGACGTCACAAGACATTATACAGACAGGCTCTGGTATCATGGCTACCTGACAACAGAGCTCAAAGTGTGGCATCATTTTAAGAAAATGAAAGAGAAACCTGTGTAATATCTGCAGAGCAGAACTTACCTTCCACAGCTATTATTTTTAGTTAGCATATGGCTGAAATCTAACGATGGTTATATAATAGCAGCTGTATTCTGGCACGATAAGCTGTATGTTTTATTTTCAATTAACGTTTGATCTGATCAGTCGACTAATCGAAAAAATAATCGGTGATTAATCGATTATAAAAATAATTGTAGCATCCCTAGTTTCCATCAGTTTCTTATCAATAACACCCAAAAACTTTACCTCAGTGACTCTGTTTATCTCTACACCACCAACTCTACATGGAATGTTAACAGTTCTTTGTCTCTTTGTAAATTATCATATTAGTTTTATCCAAGTTTAATGATAATTTTTGTTTAGTTTAAACCAGTCTTGTATTTTCAAATTCTGTTCACATTTTCTCTGACATTTGTTGTCTTTACTCAAACAAAAAAATGTTGAATTATCTGCAAATAAAACACATTTAAATAATCCTGACACATTGAGCAAGTCATTTACACATGAGATGAACAATTTTGGTCCAAGTATAGAACCCTGAGGAACTCCACATTATTCTTATGTTCCTGTTATTCCATATATACAGTATGAGATGAGTCAGAGTTAGAATATAGTTTCAATAAACAAAGATAGTTTTCTTCCCCTTTGATGTCACTTCCTGTTTCACCTTAGCTGAACCGTTATGTGACATGGAAAAAATCCTAAAATCTTTTCTTGAACTTCTTGTATTTGAAGGATATACACGTCACAGGCACTTCAAATCTTTAATTATACAGGACATTTCAAGTTTGAACTGATGTTTTATTTTTGTAAAACGACACGATTCAATTTCTTTATTTAAAATTTGAACACATTGAACAATAAAGTGATCTTCTGTATGACCGTTATGCTCTCTTTTCAATATAATCAAATAAATCCTATCAGATTTAAACCTAAATAAATGTTCTGATGACATCATCTTTGCCTTCAGCCCTGCTGCTCGGCGGGCATCATCACCATCACCTCCCCCTCCATCACCACCTTGTCCTTCACGGAGCACGTCACGGCGATGAAGGCGAACGACATCTTGATTTTCTGCACCTCCGCCTCGGCCAGCACCTCCTCCCCGACGAACAGCGGCGCCGGGAAGCGGATCTCCTGGTGCATGAGGACGCAGCCGGGCCCGGGCATCTCGGTGCCGAGCACGGCCGAGATCAGCCCGTTGATGAGGACGCCGTGCACGACGGGCGCATTGAAGGAGTTGGCATGGGCGTAGACCGGGTCCAAGTGGAGGGGGTTGGTGTCGCCCGTCAGGGCGGCGAACAGCTCCAGGTCCTGGGAGGAGAAGGCTCTGCTGAGGGAGGCCCGCTGGCCCACGTGGAGCAGCCGCCTGAGGGGCGGAGCTGCTGCGAGGGAGGAGGGGCGGGGCTTGTTGAGGAACCTCCTCCAAACGAAACTCATGGCTTCAGTCCAGCTGCAGATCCCGACTGTTTCCTGTCAGCGCCAGGAGGTACGGAGACACCTGAAAGCAACACGAGAGCACGGTTTAAAAATAAAAACTTTCTTCGATTTTCTCTCATTTTCAGTCAACAGAAGCATTTAAACTTTGAATCCTGTCAAGACATTTAAAAACTTTAAAACACTATATTTTTGTAGAATATAGTAGGGATGTCCTGATCAGATTACTCAGTATCGGTGGCAGATATGGCCATTTTTAAAAATCGGGTAGAATCGAATTTACCATAGTCATGTGTAGGGGTCACCTCGAGTGAAGAAACAAGATTTACTGCCTCGAAGCAGGCCTCGGA